CTATAGGAAGAACGATGACTCTGGAGGAGATCTTGTTTTTATCTCTTTGTTTGCATATTGTCTCCCCGTTGGAAGCTCCTTGAAGGCAAGGGTTAGTTTTTGCTTTTCTTTGTAGCCTCAGATTTAGTATATAGTGCCTGGCATATAATAAATGCTTATCAAATGAATAAATTCATACAGGTATGGAAGCAGGTGCTTAACGAATGCTTGTTGACTTGACTATGTACATGACCTTAAGTAAGGCACCCAACATCCTTGGCTTCAGTGTCCTCCTCTGAAATAAGGGATTGGACTAGTTGCCTTCTGGGGTCCCTTCCAGATCTAAATCCATTAGCCTGCTAATCATCTTCAATATAATATGTATATGTTAAAAACCATCCCTAGGTTATCCCTGACTATATTCTCCCAGGATTGAAACCCTTCTCCAAGTCAAAAATCTCAGCTTCTGTTGTAGTTGGGTGGGTTTTTATGAAACAGGCACAATAGGTAGAAAAGCCAGGTCTTAGGGGAAGAAAGGAAGGAAGAAAGCAGAGGAGGAAGGAACAAAAGAAAGGAAGGAAGAAAGAAAGAAAAAACATCACAGTGCCTAGAGAATACAAATTCTCTGAGGGCAGGTACAATCATTTTGTATTATTGTATCATCAAGCCCCAGTAGAACACTAATTTTGGTGCTTAATAAATGTTTGTTAAATTTAATCAAGTCTGGGACTTGAACTGAAATCTTTGATCAAGGAAGATAGGGGAAAAGTATTGGAATACGCTATTTTCACTTCCATATAAAGAGGGGGATGGAGGACCATTTACATTAAGGAAATAAGAGTTCTGGCGGATAGACAGCTAGCCCCCAAAAGTCTTCAAGAGCTGGGTTCAAATCAGGAAAACCTAAGTTCAAGTCTAGCCAATGACACATGCTGGCTATATGACCTTGTACAAGTCATTTAACTTCTCAATGCCTTTGGTAACTCCAAGGCTCATAAATTGCAGAAGAATTGCCCAGCTCCCTTGGAGTGGGAACTGAGATGGGGGGGGAGAGAACAAATACTGCCTATACCAATGAATTCACAAGCCCATGCTGCCCACACACACACATCACAAAAAAATAGGTAGCCAAATAAGGTTAAGTAATTCAGTGACTGACCATTGCTATGCTATTCATTTCAAAAAAAAAAAAAAGTTACCCTTCATCACAAACTAAGTTATCTCTGTCAATGGTAAATAAATGAGGTTATACTATTTTTCTTTAAAGCAAAAAATAAATATCAGGACTCACTGAGATAGAAAGGGGGAGAAAGGTCATCAAACCCAGTTCCTTAATTTTACACATGAAGAAATTGAGACTCAGAGAGCTGAAATGACTTCTTGTGGCAGTGACTAATCATAATGTTCTTGGTAGAATAAAGACTCCACACCAGGTTTCCTGACACCCCACACACTACACCACACTGTCCCTCCTGCCTAGCTTCTCTGTCCAAGCAAAAACACTAGTGATGGAGTTATTTCCAGGGAAGGCACAGAAAGGCTCGTGCTCCAAATGGTGTTTGGGCAGCTGGCTAGCTCCCAGCCTGCTGATGCCAGAGGTCCTTATCAGCTGGCACAGCAATGCCTTCCTGGCAGTGCACCTGGTGAATGCATACCTCATGCAGGACATTGGAGAATGCTGAGCAAAAGTCCAGAAGAGGAATTCTTGCAGCTGTAGCAAGGAGCCAATATGCACTCTTCTATGAGGGTTAAGTTCTGCAGATGCCAAGCCACGGAAGCCGACTGCCTTTCCATGGCTCAGCTCCTGCTAAATCAAACATTCTGCTGAACAGAGCTTCAGTTTGTATGGGTTTTGTTTTTTTAAAGCAAGCATTTGGTGGCGGGTGGGGGAGGGGTAGTTATTCCCGAGCTCAAGAAAGTCAATGAGAAAACAAGTCAGATGGTTAAGCTACTCCTTTTCATAAATCATATTTGGTGTCTGGAAAGAGCGACAGATTTACACCTCTCAACTATAAAGTTCTTGGGACCACTGTTGTTTCATGACCAAACCCCAAATGTGCCCAGCTAGTTAGTCTGTTTCATTCTTGACCTAAAAGGCCAACGGTAGTTAGCTATCAATTAGGCAAAAATCCTTTAGGAGATCAATTTTGACAGCCACAAGGAACTAACCTTCATCTATATATTCGAAAGGAAATTCCAACTAGCAACACCCTCAGTTGGGGAAGGTTCTATAAATGTTTGTTGTTCTGCGATGTTTTGTTTGTAAATTAAGCCTGGCAGACCTGTCAGATTTGTCTCAGCCCCTCTTGTACAAATTCTGCTAGGCTTGAAGGCTTTCAAAAATAATTCCAAATGAACACAAATAAAATAACACTATTTCTGTCAGGTCATAGCTGCTTGCCTTTTTGGCTATTGGGTTAAGGACAGGAACTCATATCATACTGCCCAACACAAAGAAATTGGGGAATAATAACCCAGTCAATGGGCAACCAGGGTTAGATCCAAACAATCTGGGAAGCATCGTATCCTCTTTCTAATCCTCTTGTCCAGCCTGTTCCTCATTAACCATAATTAAAATTAGCCAGTTTTTCGGGGTGACATCACAACATAATGTCTTTATGTTGATGGTACCTATATTTTCATCCCGATGGGAAAAAAATGCAGAAAAATAGCTCAGAAACCAGAAATCTAACTAATACTAAAATACCATTTATTTGTTATAAGCAATGTGAGTTACAAGGGGAAATGCACATTGTCTAAGTTTGAATTGCAAGTCTGGCTGTGTTTTTGTGGGGGTTTTTTTAACTTGGTAGAGAATGGCCACATTCTGATTTTACAGCTTAAATCTCTTTGATGCAGTGCATTGCAATGTATAGCTCCAGATGTTTGCCTCCCAAGTATATTCAGGTAAAAACTGATGTATTGTGGAGTTCTAGTGGTAGCAAGGAAGCAAGGCTTCAAAAATTGGCAATGAATAGCAAGCACAAAGCAGAGGTCCTTGTTCCTAAAAAATGAATGGCCATTTATCAAAAGTACTGTGGCAGTCCATTTATTCAGTTAACCAATGTTAAGGAAGAAAGTTGTTCACTTTGCTGTCCCAGGATGATATAATGTAAACTCAAAACTGAATAGCCTTCCTCATGTATTTCTGTCTTTAGAATTATGTCTTAGGCTTCAATATCCAATCAATATTAAGCCATGAGAAATAAGAATAGTTTTGGAGAAAGCAAAGATGCAATTGGTATTGACAGGTCCTCAATTTTAAAATGTTGTCATTGCACATAAAAAAATCTAATTAATAAAACTATTTATTCTTACAGGAATGTTCTACACTTTTCACATGGCTCCTAGGATTCCTAAACACAGAAAGAGCTGAATTGTAAGTAGTATGATCAGTAAAGTCCTATACCAACTGTCACCGGGAATTTCAGTAATCCCCTAGGCTGATGAGTTTGTTGTGAATTAATCCCTGTGCTAAGAAAGTGCCTTCCTTGAATATCTAACTCCTGTAGTCTACCCCAACATAAAACAACTAAGATTGGCTGACAAAGTCCAGTCTTAACTCTTTGTTTTTCAGAGTATATATCTCTTCCAAATGAAAGACTTCTATTTTAAAGGCAGATCTATACTTGTCCCAGTCAATGAAGCATTTGAGAAACCCAACCATAAAATTTTAAGAGTCATCATGGTACATAGGAAACTCCACTGGATTTCAATTTAGTTTTGATCTTGCATCTTTTCCTTACAACCTGTGCAACCTTTGGCAAGTCACTCAATTTCCCTCACCCTCGGTTTCCTCATTTGTAAAATGAGAAGACTGAACTAGAATCCCTATGGTATTTTTCAGTTCTAAAGCCTGTGCCTTACATCACTCCCCCAGAATATGATGGAATTAAACATCAGAAAAGGTATGATTAAAAACTTCAGCTTTTAGAAGTCAAAACAAGTAGTCATGAGGAAGAGGGCAACTCAGAATATGGAAAAATTCAAGAAATAATTTTTCTCTCTCTAGAAGTGATCGATCTCAAAGGTCCTGGAGACTCTAGAAGGTGTGAAAGATTGAATTTTGCATGACTGATGAAGAATGAAATACTTATGAATGAATGCATTAGCAAGCTTTTTTTTAAGTGAAAAAACAAGTCCCCTGGGACTCATGAATGGTTTATATCAGTCGGTCTCCACTAGGATTATCCCAAGGGCCACATTCATGTGTATGAAGTAGTTAAGAGAGCCAAAAATATCTCTACAGCCTAGGAAGTCTATTGCAAATTAACACTACATTGTTACTTCATTTTAGATTGCTATTCCTTTGCTTCATTATTTCTCCTACCTTTCTACTGTACTGAACCAAGATCCCTTCCTACAAAAGTGTAGGGAAGAGAAGGGTTACATACACAAAAAACCAGAAAGTCACAGGAGAATTATATCAACCTCTAAAACACCTTCTGCTAGCCATACATTTGGAGGGCAATGGCTTTTAATGGGAAGCCACAAGACACAAAACCAACCTCTACTTTAGTCCTATATCATGATTGTACCTGAGAATAAAGACAGAAAAACATTCTGAACAAAAAAAAAAAAAGTGGAGTGGAAACTGAGGGAAGGTGACCTAAAATGTAACACCCTAACAAAATGGGAAAGAAATGGAAAACTGTTGATTTATCTGAAAGGAATCTGAAAAAATACCTATACCCAATTTTCACTATAGGCACCAAAACCAGTTAATGCACTTGAAGACTATTTTTCATCCTGCATATCAATGGAATTTATATTTGTGTATCATATTGCCTGTATTTACCTTGAAGATTATTTTTATCTCCTCTGCTTTCTCACAGTGAACATAGGTATACCACACAATGTACCTGGGGCTTTGATTCTCTTGACTAGGACATATTCATTTTGTTAAACCATTGGTTCTGGATTCTTGATCATTGTTAATATTACAGTTATAGTTTACAGACATGAGAGTTTTCTTTTATCTTCTGATACAAAGAAAAGATTGTTAAATAGTTTCATTTTACCTGCTGGGCAGTTACACTCTAGAGGTGATTCTCTGGCGATTCTTACTTTAGCCAAATGCTCATAGGATTTCTGTAGGGGAAAGAAAAAGTATTAACAATAGCTTAACAGTTCTTTTATGAATAGAATTATTTGGCCGCCCATTGGGCTTAAGGGGGATTTCCACTATTTGATAGCCTGCATAACTAACAGTTAACTTCTGTACTTGGACTTCTGTCAAGAGGTAACAGTAACCCAGCCCTAAAAAAAGAAAATGACAATTGAAATGTTATCAAGGCTGTTGGACTTGTATAACATTGGTCCTATCCCCTTCCCCCACCTCAAGCATGTGCAGTCGACAGAACCTGGCACCAAGATGTTGCAGTTCTCTGTGAAAAACACATGATGAAGAAACAGACAATATTTTCTACCTGAAGGTCAACTACTTTGAGGTGTTTAGCAGCAGAGTGCTGAGGACTAAGACTTTCTCTATTGCAGAGAACAAATCCAGGTTCCAGAAAACCTCCCAACAAGGTTCTGAAACCAACCTCAGCTATAGGAGCCATAAACTGGAACTTTTTTCAAATATCAACTCAAAGGCTTCTGCAGCCATAAAACTCCCCAGGACTAGGACCCTTACACACACACACACACACACACACACACACACACACACACACACACACGTTTGTTTGCTTCTTTAAGAGACCTAAACATAAGACATTTGGCATATTCTATGATTTAACCATGAGGAAATTTCCTTTTTTAAAGGAAATATTAACATGTTAACACTTTAATCTTTCCTGGACTGAATTGTCATTGGAATGTACACATATAATCTCTGAATGGAGTAACGCCCATGGATTTGGGAGAAGAGAAACATTTTAGTCTGAATGACTAAATCAAAAGACAAGAGCCAACCATGGGCACTTTCAGACTCCCCTCCCACGCTTACCCATGCATACATTAGCTCCGGTGACTGAATGAACCACAGATACATAACGTTACAAGCTAAAATTTCTAGACCAGGTCCTGCCTAGAGACGTACATGCTACACATTAGCTGGAACTAGGCGCACACCCCGTCAGATGTTACACCCCCGCACCACCAAGGCTTCCACCACACCTGAGCCAAAAGTCGTTCCATTTTCTCTTGCATCATTGTTTCCAGTCGATCCAAGGAAGCCGGCAGGAGCTGATATGGAAGTTCCCCTTTGGCTGCCTCGATGGCCGAGATCCTCGCCTGCAGGTCATTGGTTTTCACCCCCAGGTACAGGCAGGCAATCACACACATCGCGGACACCACGGCCGGCAGCAGAGAGCAAGGGGCCAAAGTCCTGAGGCAGCGCTGTCCCGCAGAGGAGCTGGGCTTCTCGGCCCCATCGGGTGCTCCCTTCCCTACTTGGTCCTTCCCCAGCATGATGATGGGGGATTTTGTCCGTCTGATCTTTCACTCTGGCCCTCGGACCTCCACGAGGAATTTGAAAATATGAGAAAGAGGGGAAAAATAAAATAAAAAAGGAAAGGGTGGGTTCCGCTGAAGTTCAGGTCGAGTTTGCAGCTCTAGTTTGCTGAACCACAGAGGCAGGGAGAGGAGAATAAATGGTCCTCAGCTCAGATTGTCTCAGAGCCCAGAAACTGCATCCTCTTCTTAGCTCACCCCACCCAGCAGTGAGCCAAAAGCACCCTCAGCCCCGGCAGCAGGGGGCTGCGGCGGGAGGAAAAATTCTAAAGGAGACCAAGTCCCACCGGACCTCCTGGTCCACTCCAAGCACCCCTCGGCCACAGTGTCCCGAGAATGGCCAGCAGCGCAGGGACTGCAGGAGTCCGGGCGCCTGGGGAGTGAGGAGTGCCCAAAAGAGACCCGGCGCTAGCTCGCATCCGATATTGACCAGCCCGACCTGTTGCTAGGCTTTTTCTCAATATTTTATTATTAATTAGCTTTTTTTGTTGTTTTCAACACACGCTGGGCTGTGTGTTTTCCTACGCTGATTCAGCTCAAGGCGAAAAAAAAAGAAAAAAAAGGAGAGAGAAAAAAAGTGGAGAAGAAAGGGTGGGGGAAGGAAAATGCAAAAAGAAGTAAAATAAAATCAGGGTAGCAAAAAGGAGAGGAGGGTGGATAAGGAAAAAAGGGTAATGACCTCCCCAAAAACGAACACCAGTCGTGAGACTGAAGGAGCTGCTACCCGACTATATCTGCAGCTCCCCGTGTGTGAGCCTTAAATATCCTCGAGTGTGTGTGTGTGTGTGTGTGTGTGTGTGTGTGTGTGCGTGCGTGTGCGCGCGCGCTAGAACCACAGAACGCCCCCCCTTCACTAAACTCTCTCTATACGGTACCCCAGCAGTGGCCGCTCTGTTGTGCTGCCGCTGCACTAACTCTCGCTCCACCACCACCCCTCCCCTGCAGAGGAACCTCCACTTCATTAGCATAATTTATTCACCTTTGCTTGATGCACCCGCCCACTCCCCCAACCAGAGAGACCTCCGGGGAGCTGGGGGGAACGGAAAGAAGGCGGTCTGTGTATTAGCATAATATATGCAAATACACCGAGCCGCTGTGCAGATTGGAGAAGAATTTACGAGCGCAGCCCCGCCCTAAAGAGAAATCCCCCCTCACTCACTCCTATACTCCCACTTTCTTGGTAGGTGTCCTGGGGGCTGGAAAGCGGAGTAAAATTAGTCAAGAAGGAGTAGCCGGGGTCTGAGTGAGGACGTCAGGAACTTTGGCTTCTAAGACTCAGCGTAGGGGCAACCTGTTTATCACAGGGAAGAAATGGGGTGATGATCTCCTAAAGGAAAAGCTGGTGTCCAAGAGTGGTCTAGCTCTCTTCATTTTCACATCTAACTTTTAAATCAAACTGACTTTTCCCTCCTCTTCCTCCTCCTTTTTCTCCTCTCTCATTCTCCTCCCCCTTTCTCTTCCCCTCTTCATTTCCTCCCTTCTTCATCCTTCCTCCTCTTCCTCTCCATTCTTCCTCCTTCCACCTTTTCTTCTTTCCCCCTTTCTCCTTTCACTTCCTCAATTTTCTCCTCTTCCCTTCTTCCTATTCCTCCCCCATTCCTCCTCTTCCTCCCCTCGTCATCCTGAGACACATTGCCAATATTTCTGGGAGTCTTGGAATCAGTTTTCCCCTCAACTAAGGTCTTTTGATAAAGAAAGCAAAGCCTGAGGGTTTGTGTTCTCGTCTCTACCAGGTTTCCCCTTTATGTGCGAGACTCTGATTGCTTTCTTCCTGATCCTTGGCTGTGTCTATCGTGCTAATGTATTTTCCTGATTCACTATTTTGTGCAACTGAGAAAAAAAAAAAGGGACCTAGGAAAGATGAATTGGAAAAGGAGACCTTTTGGTCTTCCTACCTGCCTCTTCTCATGCAATCTGGAGCACGCTAGGATCTTGAGGAGGAATTCTTGAAAGCTGCTGACAACTTGTCTGGGGGCAGCATTCTCCCTCCCAACAAATTCTTCCCCAAAAAGGGAGAGGGGGGGACTCTCTTCTATTGCTCTTCCTTTTTCTCGTCACCTCCTTTCCCATAACCACTCAACCCCTTAAGAAATTCCCCATATTAGTTCACCCTATAGTTTTTACTCATAAATTCAATCACCAAAAAACACTTTACTTCCCCTGGTTTCCCATATTTGTAAATGGATTCAGCTGGCCATACAAAGGAGATGTAATAAAAGTTTGGAGGAAAGGAAAAGTGGGGATTGGAGGACCCCAGAAACTAAAATAACATGGGAAGGAAAAAGAGCAGAGTCTGGGGACAATTTACTGAATTTTATTAATGAAGTAACAGCATGCAATTTAGCAGAAACAGTTCTCAATCCCTATCTAATCAATGGGAAAAGGATTTCCCATAATAGGAGGTGCATATTGGGAAGTAAGTTTTTCTGAAACCTGTAGGTTATTTATGTAGGGGATATGTATTGGAGGAAGGAGTCTTTCTTTGAGACAAGGTATCATCTTTCCTGTTTTTGCTTATCCCACCTTGACTTAGGTTAGCCAGAAAACATACAATAAAACAAATTAGAAAAAGGCCATCTTAACATACCTACAGATTAAATAAAATAACAGAATTTACTCAAAAGAAAAGCAAGAAAAAGCTAAGGGTGTTTACGTCTTGATTCCTTTATGGATTGTTAGAACCAATAACCCTAGCTTTAGAATAATGACAAGACATCAATATTATCTCACATCTGGCTTTCATCTTTGGGTGAATCATTGGCTGGTTCTGACACAGACCAGGCCCCTGGGACTTTAGGTCTTATATTGGAATGAAATGAAACACCAATTGGTCATTCAACAGTTAATGAAAGGAGGCTTAGTTAATCATAACATAGAAAGAGTATAAAATAACAAAATAATAAGAGTATAGTCCCCTCCATCTCCCTAAAGTAATGTCTAGTCATCAGAGCAGGGTGTGGCAACCTGCACAGCCATGAAGCATCTACAAGTCTGTAGGGCCCTTACTCTACTTGGACAGACCTTTTTATTGCCTTCATGGCAGTCCCATGGCCAAAGCACAGAAGTCATTGAAGGTGAGGATCTTACCTGACCTGTCCCTCAAGGTCTTCTCAGATTCCAGCCATGCTGCCCAGAACTTAGCCCACTGTGTGGACTTATCAGGTACCTCATTACTAGATTAATGGCTGCTGAAGTTATAACAATAAACTTGTCCCAACAGCGTTCTTCAGGAGACAGGTTGTCCTAGCCGGGTGTTCGCTGGACTACAAAGCACACAGAATGTCAAGGCTTGCGTTGGAAATGTCATTCTCTGACAGCATTACATTTTGTTTGTGAAAGGCCCTCAGAAATGAGGGATATGGGCAAGGATGAGCTTAAATATACCATTCCCATTTAGCAATAGACGCCTCTGGTGCCCTACCCATCTTGCTAGAAAAGCCATCTTGCATCACTCAACTAATAATAGGAAACTCTGGATTAAGGGTGATTGTATGACCTGCATCATCTGTTTAGTAGTAACTAGGGCAACAGGCAAGGAACAGGCAAACAATTGCTTTTCCAAAGTGACATAGAAGTGGCTAATTTGTAGAGTGCTGGACCTGACATTAGGAAGACCTGAGTTGAAATCCCACCTCAGACCCTTACTAGTTATATAACCTTGAGCAAGTCACTGAAACTCTGTCCCTCTTTCTTACACTGTAACATGGGGATAATAACAGCACCTACCTCTCAGGGTTGCTGTAAAAATCAAATGAGATAGTATTTGTAAAAAGAAAAAAAAAGTGCTTAGCATAGTTCTGGCACATAGGTGACACTATGTAAAAGCTTATTCCCTTTCCTTCCCCTTGTAGCTTCCCCCACAACCAGGTGCTGGCCAAAGGCTTTTACTAATCCAGGTCTTTATGGACAGAGACATTAAAAAACATGGACCTCAAAGGATCAAAAGGGCTGGAGAAAACTGCTAGATGAACCACTTTAAGTCTTCCAGGGCTGAAGCCTACCCTGGGCTCCATTTAAAAAAGATAGCCTTCTGGGTGACTCAGTAAATTGGGGCCATCACCATACTCAAGTAGGAAGTGTGTGTTCTTGAGAGCCCCCAAAAAACAATAAGCATCTGGCCCTCCTTTTTAGATTGTGAATAAGCATGTATCAATAGCTTATCCTGATCTATGTTCAAAATTATCTATGCTCTCCTCATTCACTGGACTCCCTTGAACTTAGCTGAGCCAGCTGGACCTTGGTTTTCTTTTTCTTTAATTTTTTTTTATTATGTGTTTTTTAAATTTAATTTATTTTAAACTCAAATACTAAAACTTAAATACAAAAGAACAAAAGAAAAAAGAAAAAAGAAAAAGAAGCCTTGCCATGTGCACAGCAGAAAAGAAGAGAGGGTTCAAAATGTACAGCAATAAATTTCCATTTCAAAAAAGCCTATATAATAAATACTACACATTGTGTTCCAAGCTGTCCATCTTTTCTTTGCTTCCTTGTAAGATTTCTTTTGTTCTCTGCTGTGCACTTTTCACTTTGTTCCTTCTTCCCCTTCTTGCCCCCCAAGAAGGCTATGATTAAGGGAGGATATATTTATACGAGCGGGCGAGCACACACACACACACACATACATATATACACATACATATATACATACACACATGTATCACATAACATATATATACACATGCATACACACATACAAACACTTACATATACATACATATACTTAGATAGCTACAATCATACTCATATATAGACATATACATTCTTATGCATCTAAGTAAGACCATACTGTATTTGTTTGTCCTCTGTTTCTCAGAGGGTGGATAATATCTTCCTTCATAGGTCCAAGTCTTTCCATATTTTTCTAAGTCCACCAACTCACCATTTCCTATACCACAGCAATTCCAACCTTATACTGTCTGGTTATTTTAAACAGTCTTATTTGTGTAGGAAATCTGGAGAGCTTGGAATTTTCTGACCTACTCCACTATCTTCCTAGAATCCTCTCTCCCTGGATTTTCTTGGGGTGATTTCCCACTTTTTTCCCCTGATATGGGCTACTATCTATCTGACCAAGAGTTTTCAGACACTATGGCTTTGTCCATCTTGGTCAACATTATGATATCAATTCCATGAAGAAAGAAAGCCTCTTTTAGGTCACTGTCTATCAAAATAAGTCGGTATGAGTTTTGCTAGGACAAATAAAGGACAATAAAGATATACTGGACTTCTTCCCAGGTGACAGCAAACTGCTTCTGACTAGTATCAATCTCAAGAATGGAGAAAAAAGTGCTGGTGAAATTGATAACCCTATGCCACTCAC